ATATTATTCTAAAAATTAATTTTTTATCTTTTAATTTATAATTTTTAGATTAGATATACATACATATATTTATTTAAAATGTTTATGTTAATTTTTTTTTTAGAAAATACTTGTACGAATTTTTTTCTCTTTTGGTATTAAATTTTTTTAAGTTAATTTTTTTATTTATTTGATTTAATAGTTTAAATGTGTCATTTCTTATTTGTTTTTTGCATTTAAATTTAATATTTATTTTAATTTTTAACAACTACGCATATTTTTATAATTTTAAATATTTTTTCATTTAATCTATAATTTTATATTAAATTTAAACTTATTATATATATATATATATATATATATATATCTTTGCGCTTCATAAACATTAAATGTTGAATAAATGCTAAACATTAAATTAAAATTAAAATTTATTATTATGTATAGGTGAAATTTTATTATTATAATATATGATCATTTTTAATTGATCGAAAAAATTAGCCCAAATAACATAATAATAAAAATTATTAAACCGAACCATAAGAACATAGTTTCCAATAAATATATAATAATACAGTAGTCTACCTCTAAAAATTGTTGAACACTTTTTCCACCTATATCAATTTAAAATTCGAATTTCAAAAAAGTAGTGGATATAAATAAAAATACTTGCCACCAATTAATGTTGAACTCTTTTCCCACATATTTCAAGTTTGAATTTTGAAATTTTAAAAAGTAATGAGATTAATCATAAAAAAATAATTAAATATTTTTAAAAAATGTTTATGTTAAATATTTAAAAAAAAAATTACTTGTACGAAATTCTTTTCTCTTTTTGTATTATGTTTTCGATTTTTTTTTTAAAAAAAATTATGGAATATTCCCTTTTGTTAAAAGGAGGTTGGTTTCAAGGCTAATTATGATAAATTTAATTAGAAGATAAAAAATTTCATATGCCTGCATTATATTTTGGAATTGAAAATCAATCAATTTCTCTTCTAGTTTATATTCTTATTATAAGCATGCAAAATAGAGCTTTTCAATGTGTACTTATATTGAATTAGGCTAGGCCACTTATACAATAGGCACAAACAAAATTAAAAAAAAGTAGAAGGATAAATTAACAGTGATAATTAAAGCAAAAAATTCTTAAAAGAAAAATTGCTTTGAAATTATGTTGCTGTGTTGCACTGGTCTAGCATCTGGCACATTTCCAACATTCTTTGAGGAAATAAAAGATGACTTTATGAGGATCAAAGTAGTATTATCCTATCCAACTCATCACTCCCATCATCATGGTAAGCATATATGTCAAGAACAAACATAAATTAAAGAACAGCAACAACAATGCGAAACAAATTATGTATGAACAGGAAGAATAGAAGGGAAAGCTCATCTTGCTCTTGCAGACATTAAAGATAGAAAGTAGAAAAACTTTAAGATAAAGGAGAAATTTTTACTGTGTTGAATTTTGACATGGTGCCCAAAGAGCACAAATAACACACAGGAGAGAAAGGACATGACTTGCCAAAAAGTCGGGATGATCCACGCATTATGCCATTGCTCGTTGTATACTTTTATTTCTTTGTTGCAGCTTGTAGATCTTTCCAAAGAAGGCTAAAGTCAAATATTTAGTCATTTAAAAGTTAAGACATTTTATTATATCATCTCATTCTTTCATTCATGATATTAGATTATGAAGAAAATACATATAGAAGAAAAGCAGGTAGAGAAGAATGTCAAATCTTCCTCTGAAGAAATACAAAAGCACATATCCTAGTGATTCCAAATCATCCCGTCAGTTTTGTTCTACAACAAAGCTGGAAAAAAATCAAAAATATTACATGTTCATGTAATAGAACAACAATTTGAAAAGATGAAGAAGATAAACAAACAGATAAGAAAAGAAATATGTGCATATAAGCTAATTATCAAATGAGAAAACCCAATAACACATATCCTATATATACGCAAAATATTTGCATTTTTTACAAAATATCTTTCGATTTTTTAATGATTATTTTTTAACAAAATAATATTTTTTTATGCAGCAATAATAGGGTTAACAATTACTTATGTAGAAAGTAATGTGATAATGTCTACAAAAAAAATAATGGGATAGTAAATGAGCTTTTTGCCACCAACAATTGTTCAAATGTTTTCTCACTCTTTAAAATTCAAATTCAAATTAAAAATTAAAAATTCAAATTCAAAATTGAAAATCAAGATTTCAGAAAGCAGTGAGATATTAATAATTTGAAAATCTAATGTAGAAAGTAGAGGTACATTAAATGAGCTGTCTGCCACTCACAATTGCTAACAAATCTTGTCCATTGATTTAAATTACAAATTCGATTTTCTTTTATATTTTTCTATTTACTGATTTTACCAAAGAATGAAAGGTTTTAAATATCTTATAGTGTGAACACAAAGCTGAAAGTGAAGGAGAAAGCGACACGTCAGCAAACTTGTCAAAGAATAGGTTTCTTTTAGAATATTAAATATAATGGGAAAAATGTTTGTTCTTTTAAATGACATAACTTATATCATTTAACTCTCACAAAGAGGTGGGACAACACATTTTTTTTGTCCACTCTCTCTTTCCCTTTATCTTTATCTTTCTCTCACTTAAAATGACACAAATTTTTTTTTTTTTGATAACAAAATGACACAATTTTACCTCCTTTAAAATGATACACGCTTTTCCCTTATATAATTTAAGGGAAATTGTTCAAATTATTTATCATTAAGATAGTCCTAATAACATGTTGCGGAATACAAACTTTGGTTATATTATATTACGGGAAAATATTTTCTCATGTTGTATGAGAATTCAATTCTCGTGTTGTGACTCTTCGATTTGCGTGCAAAGCTTTTCTTTTCTTTTCTTAATAAATATGGGGTTCACCACTAGTTGAGTCACAATATGAGAATTCAATTATCATGCAACATGAGAAAATCAAACCCCTTATATTATATAGATAAAAGGAATACTTACATCATATTCTACTACTTTTTTAATTCAAATTAAAAAAAAACACATCTATCATCAGACAGACAGACACTACCTTTAGACAATAGAACTTTAAAGTATGAGAACAACAACAAATCCTTTATATTAACATTTTTAAACAGTTTCTTTTATAATTTTCTTCCAATTTTAATTATTTTATTTTTCATTTGTTTCGTTTTCTCGTTAAAATCTCAATTGATTTTCATTTACGCAGTCATCTTTTTTTCTTTTTCTTTTTTCAATGAAAGACGGTAGGACGCTTTGTGGTCATATCAATAATAAAAAGATTAGTCAAAAAAAAATATTTTAACATGACAAAAGTTTTGCTTACTGACTTATGAAAACGAAACATTACCAAAAGTTCAAAAACCATCCGAGTATCAGCTATACAAACACATGTTGAACACTCGAGCAAGAAACTGTCAGAATGTAGCACATGCTCTGGAACTGGAAAATGGCAATCTATAAATCTGAGGGATCTAGATCTTCTCCATTTTATATAAAGCTGTATGCAACCTTAACCTTTAAAAATATTTTATTTATAATAATAAAAATTATATGCGTATCATCAAAATTAAATAGTGATCGAGTAGTCATGTAGTGTCTTTCAGTTGGGATCTCCTAGCTTGATCGAACAAGCAAATAGTGAGTAGGAAGCAAAGTAACCGAAGTTAAATTCAGAGAATCATGACGCAAATTTTGACTCCATTTTTTAAATGTACTAATTAATATAAGGTATAACAACTGGCTTCGTCTCGCTTTGAAGCAATGCAATTAAATTCACAAAAGAGCAGTGCGCACCAGACATTATTCTTAATTTCATATGTAAAATATATTAGTGGTCATGGAGAAATGGGGACAGTATATTACTTCAAGTTGCAATATAAGTGACGAGATAATTATTCTAGTTATCTCACTAGAAAAGACGCATAATATCTTAGCCTTGCTTTTCTGTGTTGGGGTTTATATTGACATATTGTTGGCGAATATATCTATAGCAGTGGAAATTGGTATCTAATCCCTGCCGCCCCCAGGATCTAAAAATTCTAAAGAAATGCTACCAGCTGAATGCTGATCATACATTACGCAACATGAAATGGAGCACTTAAAGGTCATAGACTAATTTGATGCATTTGATGTAGAAAGATTCAGTGACAATATAAACAAAACAATACTGAACTAGTGATTGACTGGACAATTTTTTTTTATTAACTATTTAATGAGTAATGCACAAACTCTCATTCAATATGCATAAGTACCAGGGAGTACTACTCTCATTTTATATGAGAATAATTCTCTACTTCTCCCATATTATGAAAAAAAAGTCAAATCACGCCTATCATTAAAGAAAAAAAAAAGTATTATATAAAACAAAACAAAATTTCTTATGTTACTAGAAATAAATTCCATCTCCCGTGGACACAAGTCCAAACTGACACATTTTTCTACAAGTATGTAGGAGAGAGAAATTCTCTTATGATACATAAGAGTTATATTTTCTATGTAACAGAGGGAGAAAAATAGAGGGAAAAAATTATTTTATCTATAAGTATGTAGGAGAGAGAAATTCACTTATTGTAATATTTTGTCTTTGATATCTATGTAATAGAGCGAGAAAAATAAAGAGGCAAGAGTTATTACTATTTTTTATATTGTGAACAAAATTTTGTTACCTGATTTAATAGCCAACAAAATTTGTAGGGTCTTTTGAATTACTTTTCATTTAATAAAATTATTTTAAAAATCGAATAAAGTATAATTTGTTTATTTTATAGTACGTCTTACTTTTTTAAGAAATCAAAACTGAGTCTTGCTACTGGGAAAAAGGATATACTTGAGTCCCCCATACATATATACCCAGGATTGGGAGCATTAGTGAAGGGAGGGAATCATATCTTGTTAAAGCGGTAAAAAGTATTGGGCAAGTTGCAGAATCCCCCACTTGACTCTCCCTTATTTAAGGAGCTAGAACAACAAATCTTTGCACTAAAGCTTAACGTCCCTAGATTGTGGCATCTTTAGTCACTATCTTTTCTCAGAATATATAACACACTTTCTCAAAATTAGATATATAACATGTCTTGGACACGAGAAGAGAACAGACGTTTTGAGGATGCTCTTGCGGTACATGGCCCCGATGACCCCAACAGGTGGTCACATGTAGCCAACGCAGTTGGTGGAAAATCCATAGAAGAGGTGAAAAAGCACTACGAGATCCTCAAGGAGGATGTCATTCGTATAGAGCGTGATCAAATACCACTACCCAAGTACAGAGGTGCTGACATCAACGGAAGGTGCGCGCATTGGCAATGACCAAAGGTAAAGTTATTACATGATTTCAATGTTTGCGTGTTCCATATTGTTCTGGAATGAATATATTAATAGGTTGTAAAGGTATATAGGTTCATGACAAGTACTAGACAGCAATGAACCTACCAATTTCTCATCCTAACAATCAACTAACTTATAGAATGTTAAGTTCCCTGATCTAGGAAAAAATGAAAATACAGAGACATCTTAAAAATCTCTATCTATGTAGTTACAAGTTCCAACAACTCTGCGTGTTATCATTCTTTACTCTCTACTCCCCTACTGAATTAGAGGAGGAAATTGGTTTTATTGCAACTACAAAAGCTCATTAGGGGGTGCTTTGTGCTTTGAAACAGATATATGTTCTAATTTTAGGAGAGTCCTCGATATCTACATTGCAAATTTCTTTATAATATTACAATGGCATCAGTGTTCATGCTATTTCTGGTTAGCTAACTGTTCAAACTGTAAGACCAAGCGCTGCATTATAATATAGGGATAAGTTATTCTACCTATCACTTTTTCTGCCTACTTTTGCCTATCACCTTCCAACACCGTTATATCTTAAGATTCTGATCTAACGGTGTTGGAAGATAGTAGGCAAAGTTAGACAGAAAAAGTGAATAACTTATCTCTTTTATATATATATATATGAGGTGAGATCTTTTGACACCAGTGTCAAATTTGAAACTTGACACCTCATCTGAGAGCCGTTAGATCAAAAGATCAACGACTCTGATTTGTAAGCATGTGATACCATTGATTTTTTTGATCTAATGGCTCCTAGATGAGGTGTCAAAATTCAAATTTGACACTGGTGTCAAAGGATCCTACCTCTATATATATATATATATATATATATATATATTATAAATTTATAAATAATGAGAGTCCACGTGAAATTCAATCCATCAAGTTTTAGATCACGTGCACAAGATCTATTAGTTTGGACAAAAACCACCGTATAATGCATAATATTATTATAAAACCGTCGATCAGTTGTTGCTGATAATCATCGATCAAGTCATGCATCCACATTTTCCCCCCTTTTTCTTTCAAATCACCTGTAATCATAGGATGTAGTTAAGTTTTCTGGCACATGCAATTATCCACATATTATACACTTATCAGCATCATCCTATTTTCTTTAGCAGGCGAATGAAGAATCTAAATCTTCAGTGAAGCAAAGACTATAAGAGCTGTGGAGTTACTACTTTCTACCTCAGTTGAAAGCATATGCAATAGTATACGTAACCGCATCTTGCTTGCAATTTATGTGCTATGTATTTCTTTTCCTGTTATATATATTCACCAAATTGTAATTTGTAAGAAATATCATGTAATGTAACTCTGCGAGATATTAGAAATTTTGGTGTAGCTTATTTAGCCTCTGCACTAAAAATAATATTGATGGCATCGAGAAAGAAAAAAAACCACCACACCACCTAATGGCTATATATAACTAGTTAAGCCGCAAATGAAGGCTTTGCAGAAGAAATTTTGTAATAGAAAGTCCTAACATTAAAAAATAAATCAGATAAAGTCCTATCATTAAAAAATGAAACAGATAAACTTTTCTAAATATAAACAAGTAAGTGCGTGAGAGCCGGCCGGGGATTTGACACATGTATGAACCTTATTTATCTGTGGCAGTAGCTGACAGATCGAGCTATAAGCTCCCAATTTGCCAACCCCATAACGACAAAACGCGTTGTTGCAATATATATAAAACACCGAATACTAATCCAACAAAGTTGCGTTCATTGCCAACCTTGGTTTACAGAATTTATCAAGGCGTTACATCAATCCTTGAATCCAGGGTAAGGAATAAGAAAAAATGGGAAAGATAATATTTGTTTTGGTATTTTCATTGGTGGTGGCTCTGCCATTCCGTTCAGTTTTAGGTCAGGAAGGTTCATGGCAGGATCTCATAGGCCAAGGAGGTTTCTCTCAAGACGCAATAGGCCAGGCTGCGAAGGCTTTTGGTAGTGCTGCTGGTCAAGATGCTGTTAACGATTATTTAGGTGGTGGTGGTGGTGGTGGTGGTGATGAAGGAGATTCAGGATCATCTTTGGCTGATTTGTTAGATACAGACAAGTAAGATTCGGGCCATGCATTCTTTCTTTGTCTTTCAAAATTCAAATATTTAATGTTCAAGTTCCCACGTTGTGACATTTAATAATAGACACATTAATTGGTTAAAGATAAGGTTAAAAATTGTGTGTAACTTACCATGCTTGATTTACACTACTTTTGTGTTTGGTTAATGTTGTCACAATCAGCAGCGGTACGAGCACCGACACGGGAAGTTCGCCAACAGGGTCAATACCAGATTCACCTGTTGGTGCACCAGAAGATTTACCTGCAGATGATGTTTATGTTTCACCTGCAGGAGCACCAGAACATTCCCTCCAAGAAAACTCACCTGCAGGGGCACCAACTAATGCACCCGTTTACGCACCAACAAATGCCCCACTTAAAGCAACAGCAAATTCACCCACACAAGCACCTGAATTTGCACCAATAAATGCACCCTCAGAAGCACCTGGATTTGCACCAACAAATGCCCCATTTAAAGCAACAGCAAATTCACCGACACAAGCACCTGGATTTGCACCAACAAATGCACCCTCAGAAGCACCTGGATTTGCACCAATAAATGCACCCTCAGAAGCACCTGGATTTGCACCAACAAATCCACCCACGGCCACGGAGGCACCAGAATTTGCACAAATAAACTCACCCGCGGAGGCACCTGAAGACGATACTGAATGGGCACCAACAAATGCTCCCTCGGAGGCACCTGAAGGGGAACCAGTAGATGATGATGACAATGGGGAACCTGAATGGACACCGACAAGTGCACCAACAGACTCAGGGGCACCTGAACGGGCACCATCGGGTTTGGCCGATGATGATTCCGAAGAAGCAGCATAGAATAGCAAGATCACACACTAATTAAATTGTATTAACGTAGATAGTTACATTCCGTTTTGGAGGGTTATATGCACCCAATTGCTCTCCTTATGTTGTTATGCTAATATGAAATAAATGATACTTTGTTGTACCTAGTTTATCCTTTGATTAATGAAAAAGTAAGGCGGAGAGAAGTTGGCCCAAGTGACATTTTATTTTCACAATTAATTTACATTTATTTTTTTTAAACACAATAGTTGGTTTGAATTTATGACCTAATGCAAATTTTATTAAACTTTAAAAACAAATGAATTTTTAAGTTTTTGGACAATACGTGACTGTTTGTTAGTTACCTGTTTTTTTTCTCTCAATATGCAACCATCGAAATACAATAATCCACCTTAGAAAGTTGCTCTTATCCACGAATCCTCATTTCTTACAATTTTTAACTTGATTACTGATAGGTGTAAAACACATTATGCGGGTCAAAAATATGAGAAATATTGTTATAATGCAAATGCAAAAGAATTTAAGGTTTTACTGATTGGGCACATTACAGACTTAAAAATATATTGGTTTTGTATTCAAATTATTGAATTGGAACATTGGAGCAATGAGTAAGTTAGAAGAACTTAGAAAACGATAAAGGAAGAGCAATAGTTTAGTGAAAATCTCCTTACAGTTGTCTTCTGGACAATTTTTAGTATTCAAGATGATAAATTTGGATCTCGTGTTCTCATAGAAGTTGTAAATATCTCTTTTATCTTTTTAACGAGACCAATATCACATCAATTGGACGAGTATAGCTCCAGATCTCCAGTTATGACCAAAATACGAAACCATGTTTTTATTGCCAAAATAGCGTGATTTAACGCGTTTCGATCCGTTTTAAACCTGGTTGCGACTTAACTAAGGTCCATTACGGAATTTTAACCCAAAGTTAGTTAGGGTTCCTACACATATTTAATCTACTTTTCAAAGGAAACTGATAACTTTTGGACGACATAGCTCATGATAGTTTCGGCTTAGGAGAGGGAAAAGCTCCGTTCCAAACTTGAGGAGCGGAGAGGAACGGTCAAAGCTTCACCGTGGAGATCGATTTTTTTGTTTCCTTTATACTTGTCATTAGTTTCTTTCTTGTTTTCTTAGTTTTATGAACATGTTAGCTTAGGTTTCTTTATGTAGTTAGGGTGAGATAGAACCAATGAGTTCCTAACACTGTTTTAATCTTTATTGTAATTAATATTCATGTTTTTCATTATGCAATTAATATGTTTCCCCACGACTAGTTTTGTTTATAAATTGATCACTCATAGATGAACGCATGAATCTTGCATGATAATAGGAATATTGCGTTCTTGATTCTGATTGATTAATTGCTAGGGTTTATATGTTCTAGACATAGGCTTACAAATTCTATGACTTTATAATTCTTGCTCTTAATGCTTGTTCTAGGAAAAACTTCTAAGGGCCTGTTCGGTAAGTGGATTCTCCATGAAATCTTGGGAAAATGGGGTAGGAAAAAATATTTTTACAAGTTTGATAATGGAAAAGTGAAAATATTTATTGGAACATTTTTTCCCCAACATTTTCTTTTACCCTATCAATTCTCATTGCAAAATACCATTTTATATATCGTATTTTTTTTTTTCCTTAACCGGTGGGAAAGTAGTCAATTTTGATGGGTCAAAATTACCCCTCCTCTCTCTTCCTCTATTTGCTCTCTGCGTCAATGGAAGGAGAAGCAACTGCAAATATTTTTGTTTTGTTTTGTTGGCTTCAAATCATCACTGTCCATTTTGTACTGGTTTTTGTTAAGAGTACAAACACTAAAGAGGGGATCATCTTCTTCCTTCTTGAATAGTATTACAAAAAAGGGGGGAAAGCTCCGGTGGTTCTTGCCAGGAAGAAGCAGGTAGGTAACATAGCTCAGGTTCATTCTTAGTTAAGTTTTGATATAGTGTTAGTTTTTTGTGTTATTTTTTTTTAATGTTGGAATGACGAAGATTCGTAATTTTTTTTGTTTTCTCAAGAGGAGGTGATGAACCCGTTGTTCGAGAAGCATCCAAAGCAGTTCAGGATCGGAGGGGCTTCTCCCTTGTTTATCAGTCCTGTACAAAGTTCAAGTTAAATGGTAGAATCAAAAAGTGAAGCCGGTAAAATAACCCCAAATTTCCACTAATATTTCACAATCAATCAAACACATATTCACTAAACTTAACTAAATAATCTCGGAAAAATCTTGGACTACCAAACAATTTTTAATAACATTCCTAGAAAAATTAATTTCCCATTATATTCTCAGAAAAAAAAATTGGTAAAAAAAAAATATCTCTTGTACCAAACGCCCCCTAAGAGATTAGGGTTTTGAATAAAATGAAGATTAAATCACCAAGGGATTGGGGGATTTAGTTAATTTTGAAAGAATTGTCGATAATTTAATCTTGAATATTAATTGCATGAAAGGTTAGAATTGTTAGGAAACGTTGAGGAAATTGAATCCCTAGCTACACTTGTCTTTAATTAATTTCAACCGTTATTGATTGTGTTTTTGCGTTCTTGGCTTTTGTTCTTAATTCTTAATCTTGAAAACTAAAAATATATAATTTTTAAAATTTTATTATTACTTTAAATCATATTATTGATCGATCCAATTTTGATCGCGTAGATAAGTCAGTGTTGGTATATCAATTCTCATGAAAACGACAATCTCACTCTTTTTACTATATTACTTATAAGACCGATATACTTGGCGTTATAATTACGTACGAAGATTCTAAGGAATGCTTGGGAGCAAATTAATCGCTAATTTAGCGCAACGGTGTAAATATAAGAATCCTAGCGTAATTTTTAGTGTAAATATGCTAATTTTAAATAGTTTGCCTCGACTTTGAAATGAGGATATAGAGTGTTTCCAAAAAAATTCTTTCGCACAAAGCATAATATAAATTACTCAAATACATATAACTATGTGGCCAATATTGTCAAATATGTAAAACATCATAAAATATATTTTCTCTGTTTAAGCTGTGCTTGATGATACATCATGGAATATAAGGTCTGGAGTCATACATGTAGTGAAAATAAAAGGAAGAATTTACCATGTCATTTTGTAAGCTTATTTTAAGTTTAACATAGGGAATCAGGGTTAAGGTTTTAGACTTGTGGAAGGAAGATTCAATATAAAAAACATGAAGGACACTAGAAAAATAAACTTAAAATCAAAAAAAGATATGTGTAGTTAAATAACCACATTTCAGAATTTAGTTATATCCTCATAAAACATCATCTGAATACTTTTTTTATAAGTTACCAATTCCGGATCAAACTAATCACATTTTTATAACCACATTTTAGGGTTTAGTTTCCTAGTTCAGGAATTTTTGATACACCTCTACTTGGCCCCTTTTTTCTTGGACTACAGATCGGATCTACAAAAGCCCAAGTTTCAAAGGCCCAACTTGTTTGACAGGGCTGAGCATGCACTTAAAACAGGTAAAATGGGTATGGTTTTTAATAACTCAACCCAGATCATAACACTGGGTTTCATCTTAAGAGTGGTTAAGGTATATATATATATATATATATATATATATATATATATATATAAATATAAGGAAATTATATTCTCATGTTACCTGAGATTCATATATCATATTACATTCACATAAAAAGATGTGCCTTTTTTTATAAAAAAAATTAGTGGGCCCCACTTTGTAAGTCTCACAACATAGATAACTTCTCTCCTGCGATATGATAGAAATAAAATCGATATGTATACAGGCTTTAATGTTTTTATAATAAATGTAGATAAGTTATCTACATTCACTCTCAAAATGACATCGTTTTAAGTTGAAAGATTAAAAAATTATAATGATAAAGATTATTATAACCCTGAAATAAATTATAATTACAAAAATACATTGATTTTCAATCCAAAACGATGTCATTTTGGGCTTAATATAGATAATTTATTTACATTGAATGCAGAAAAAATGAACCGATAAATATATGGAATAAACACTTCTCATGTTTTGATCTTTTGATTTGCTTGTAAAACTTTTTTTTTTAGATAAATGTGAGGCTCACTATTAGTTGAGTCACAACAAGAGAAGAGAATTCCCATGTAATGAGAAAATCTGAGCCATATATATATATATATATATATATATATATATATATATATGATATGTATATAAGAAAAATGTATCTAATGTTACTTTAGACAACTTTGTCAAATGTTTATCGAAACGACGTCGTTTTGGGTTGAAAAATTAAAATGATAAAGATTATTATAACCTGAAATAAATTAAAATTACAAAAACACCATGATTTCTGCCCCAAAACGACGTCGTTTCGATGAAAATTAGATAAAGTTATCTAAAGTAACTTTAGAAAAAATAAACCTATATATATATATAAAGGGTTCGCTTTTTCTGCAGTTAATGTAAATAAGTTATATGCAGTAAACCCAATACGACGTTATTTTGGGACGGAAATCATAGTATTTTTGTAATTTTAATTTATTTCAGGGTTATTATAGTCTTTATAATTATAATTTTTTAATCTTTCAATCTCAAAACGACGTCGTTTTGAAAGTAAACACATAACTTATCTGCATTAACTGCAGAAATATTTTTCTGATATATATATATATATATATATATATATATATATATAGGGTTCGCTTTTTCTGCAGTTACTGCAGATAAGTTATCTACAGTAAGCCCAATACGACGTCATTTTTGGCAGAAATCATGATGTTTTTGTAATTTTAATTTATTTCAGGGTTATAATAGTCTTTATATTTATAATTTTTTAAGATTTCAATACCAAAACGACGTCGTTTTGAAAATAAATGTAGATAATTTATCTGCATTAACTGCAGAAACATTTTTCCCATATATATATATATATATGTATATATATATATGGATATATTTTTCTTATGTTGTAGGAAAAAAATTACCTCATGTTGTAGAAATAAAAGTATAAGTGGGACCCACAGATAAGAGGAGAGAGAAAAAAGAGTGGTAGGACCCCACCTTTTTTGTGTGTGTAAAAAAGTTGTTTATCTCATGTAAAATGAGATAAACATAACCCATATATATATAGGGTAGGATTCTTTGACACCGGTGTCAAATTTTGAAATTTGACACCAAATCAAAACTTTTGATTTTCGCCAATCAATGGTTATCATTTATTGAGAATTAAATTTATTAATTAATTTTAATTCGCAATAAATAATAACAGTTGATTGACATAAATCAACGGATAAGATTCTGTGTCAAATTTCAAAATTGGACACAGATATCGAATGATCATTTCCTACATGTGTGTGTGTGGTGGGGGGGCTACGAAATAAAAGTTCCAAGTAAGGCTACGAAAATATGTTTGGTACAAACGGCGATCATTCGTCCTGATGAAAAGCTTTATTCGTCCTGTAGTCACTAGAAAAGTAAACAAATATATTCAAATTCAACTTATTAAATATAAAGGTGTATTCTGTTTTGGTACATGAATTTGGTATCACCGAATCCGTATTCGAGCTTGAATTCTTTTGCTAATAGTATTTTCCTTTGATGTAATCATTTAGTTGTTTCAATTCTCCACTTTGCTGCTCCATCACTGTTCGTACCACATCCACAATTGAAATCATACCGACTATTTTCCCATCTATAACTGGAACATGCCGAATGCGATTCTCTGCAAGAAAATAGTCATATTTCTTTAACATTTGATCACTCAAGTGTTATTGCCAGTTATCAAAATAAGAAAATTGCCAACAGGAGAGTTACCTATCATAAGTCTCATTGCTTGAAGAATGTTTGTGTCAGAGGTCACCGTTATGAGGTTGTTCTGTTTACAGGTAACCTCATAAATCATAATGAAAAAGCTGGGTTGGGTTAACTATAATGGAAATGAGAGAGCATAAAATAACCTCATCAGTCATTATTTGACCAACTTGTGTGTATGAGGGAGATCTTCCTGGTGCGACTATTTTTTTCAAGCAATCTGCGGTGTCATGCATGCAGCCAACAGAGAGATTCAGTTTAGTTCACTGAGTTAGAAGACGTTTAAGCTTTGGTTTTTGTTGGTTTTGGAGATGAAAAATATAATTAAGAAATGAAGTACTGGTTTATTGATGCATAACAATACAACTTAAAAAGAAAAAGAAAAATAAGAAAAAGAAACTGCTCACGACTACATAATTTTTCATCAATAGAAAAGAAAACTGCTCACTTCGTAACTACCTATTAAAGCAGAAAAATAACTGCTCACTACTTAACAACTCATTAAAACAGAAATAAAAATTGACTCCTAAATAATTAAAAATATTCAGTTTCTAGAGCATGATTTCTAACAGTTTTCAATGGTAGTGATTTTTCTATCTTAATTAACTTCGGGGCATTAAAAGGTATTAGAACCACCTACCTCTTTCTGTGACAATGCCTGCTATGTGTTGCCCCTCTGGCTTTAGTACCACCAACGATCCAATATTATTTTCAGCCATCTGAAACCTTACACGATGTTTGTTAAGAAATGTTATGAAAGTTAATATCAGTGAAAGCTTTTTATACAAATTGAGCTATCTTACGTTCTTCATTGCATTAATAACAGCATCATCAACTCGACACCAAAGCCAGGAACCCAATTTTTCTTCCCCCTTTGTCATTAGTACCTCTGACACTGTAACATTCTCCAATCCTTTCTGCTGCATGGGTGGAGAGGATGTGACACCTCCAAAACCAGAAGATATCTTATGTGGGTTAATGATTCCATTCCCATGGAATTGTTGAAATATTGCGGCCCTTGGAGGGTTTTGGCGAAGTCGTAGTCTCTGGTAAATTCCTAGCATTTGTTTTTCTTGTTCTGTTCAATCAAAATAAAAAACAGAGCTGGCTAATGTATAGTTTACAAGGTACCACTAGAAATAGAAGTATTGATGGTTTTAGAGTTTTAAACAATGTCACATTCACCGGTGAATTTCTCTCATTTATGATTCTAGAGAATCATTGGGAGGATTAATGATTTAATTTTAATCATAAAAGACCTAACTCGAACAGTATTTTCCTTTCATATAAATTTTGGATGTTCTTCCTTGCAGAGAGATCTAAGGTAAGAAATTAAATAACAAAAATTCGGACAACTATATATATATATTTTAGTATTTTACTAGTGTAGGGATCTACGTACCCTGATGTTGCTGCTAGGAATACTTGGGAGTTGATTGGTAGCGTTGGTTCTGCTTTAGCAGCGGCAAAGGTATATATGGAACTACCCTTTGGTATTTCATACTGCCACGAGAATAGCTTGGTGCCAGAGTTTACTTCATGATTGCATTTAGTCTCTGAATTCTTTTCTTGAGGAAGAATATGAAGAAAGGAACTTTATGGTTGCTTTCACGTGTAATTGCTGAACCTTTTGAATGATGCGCTGGCGGCCTGGCATTTATTTGCTGAACATGAACAATATACACTTACGAATGATTATTCCAACTTTCCAAGTTTAGTTCAATGAAATTAATTCCCAACACGTGAATGAATGACCAAAACCACGAACTCAGTAAGCTTCAAGGAGGCTAAGTATATGCTGGGAATTTCTTCCGTGAGAGGTAAAAGAAGTTTATTTCCTCCGCCCGACAAGAATGGTTGGCAAACATCTGATTAAAACATGAATCTGCAAGTCCAAGGAAAGCACAATTGAAGATGTTTTCAAGGGAATCAATGTGAAATGCTCAGCAATAAGAACTGGTCTAGTCAACCCAAAAGATATAATGAAAGTCCTACAATGCATCCAAAGTATAAATTCTTAGTTGTGTATATAAAGACAGCCAGTGCAATCTGTGGTATTAAGTTCAGCCAGAATAGTATATGAGGTAAAAAAACTTAACCTGTTGTGAGTTGTGACACCATCCATCATCCATGCCACGGAAAAAGCGGCAATTTCGTTTTAGGATCCCTTGGATATCATGTCCTTTCACTGGATCTCAATCTCGTCGTCCAAAATCTACATCCCAAATACCCATTCAACGGCCACCATTTCGGCCTCCTGGAATAGCTTCTGTACCACCACAGCCTCTTCCTAGCCAAGCTCAAGGAACTGTAGAGAGAAAGATGATGTTTGCAACAACATCCAATGCTAGAGGCGAAGAGATCAAAGTAGTGAGTTCAGCATCAGCAGACTCAGTGACGCGGAATGTATCATCAAGCATATCCAACGATGAAAAGCCACCTCAGCAAAAAGGTATGAAGGATGATGATATTTTAAATCTTGTTCACCCAACACAACCCATGGATGACAAAACAGTTAGTGTGGTAACTCTGGCTGGTGACAACAGAGGAGCAACAATGCACGTAACAGGTTCCCACTCAGCTAGGAAAAATGGTTCAATCCACATACACCGAGCCTACAGGAATAATCCGAAAGAGAACACTGAGGAAGAGGAAAACTCGCCTAGCACTTCAACGGAGAAAGATGAAGTGGGTAAGGCTTATGTCAATAGTAACATACAGAGCATGAATAATTCTCTTTTGTTGCATGGTTCAATCACTGAAAGAGACCCTGGCGTTAGTGTGATTCTTCCCCAACGGCCAGCAGAACCCATCAAGCCACGTTTGGAAAACCAAAAGGCGGAAGTAAACATTAATCGGACAGAGAGGTTAACTCACCGGCCCATGATTCGAAGGCGATGCCTAAGAGGTCTTTTGATGGAACCAAGCGACTCTGATCCTGATAACCCTCGCAAACCTCGTCGTCATGGTTGCAAATTCAGTTGCGGAGATATTAGAAAGGATTAGGATACCCGGATTATATATGTAACAAAATAAAAACACAAATACAGTCTCGTCCACTTGAGACACAATACCAGGATTTTGATATTTCTTTCATGTTAACAAATCCATAATCTCTCTACTGTTATTTCTTAATTTAAATTTTTTCATAAACAATGCAGTGACTTGCAACTGTCTCTGGTCTACAATTAACAAACTTCATTTATAACAGGCAAATAGAGGTTGAATATCAAAGCCTAACGGTTGGCATTACACATACTTGAACGAGACTTGTTGTCCAGCTTTTGTCCTTTCCTACCAAAATATATAAATCTGTATCAACTATCAAGGAAGAGTAGGAGGGTCATTGGCCACAACGAAGAAAGTCATGACCGTTAAACTGGTTTAGCCAAACTTACGCAGTTATGCCAGTGGTAGCAAAGCATAAAAGAGCTTACAAACGCGAGCCCGCAGCAGGGTGTTTCAACCAATGTTATTCAACCTTATCGAATAGATCGAGGTATTGGTTCATTGGTTCAATTAGTGGATTACTGGTTCAATCGCATAACCTAGTAAATATATGTAAATTTATAATTTATGGGTTCGTTTTTTTTGAAATTACTGCTAACATAAATAAGTTCTTAATACCTGCTATGTATATGTTTAAATTATAGTGTTGCGTTACGAATATATTAGGATTTATCGTATATTAGTGATTTAGAAAATAATAATAATGACTTAGGAATTTTGAACCATGCTATGAATGTTTTAATGACTTAGTAATTTTTTTGTTACGTAGCTATTATTATTATTTAATTATGTATTGGATTTTAGCGTATATTAGTGACTTAGAAAATAACGATATATAGTGATTTAGAGATGTGAAGAGTGCATACAATGGAAGGGGATTATATAGAATTTTTTGACCCATTTACGTCCGGGGACATCAGGGCTGCATGTGTCATGCCCAATGTGGACGTCACATCTGACGCTCACTTTAGACGTGACATTATATATTAGATTCGAAATTATTTTCAAAACTGCATTAAATTTATAATTTTTTAATTAAAAAACATTAAATTAATTTGTTTGCCTATATGTGATAGGATATTGATCATTTATGAATAAACTCATTTTTGATAATTTTGTGACTACCTGCATTAATTTATTTTTTCCCTCATCCTTCATCACTATTAATTTATTCTTGTATAATTAGGATCGTTCCACACACAAGAGGATCCACAGGAAGAGTTAGAAGTTTCAAAACCAAAAACTGCGGGGTTGTAGCCGCCTTGTTTTCTTAAGTCTGTGGGCTGCATTAATTAAAATGAATCTTAGAATATTCAATTATTTATTAATTCATGCCCAAACTAGACGAAGGATCTTTATCGTAATCGGAGGATAAGCTCCATCAGCATTATCACTTAGCACCCGAAACATTTGACTGTGATCCACTTGTCCATTCATCACAATAAAAAATTTGCCAAGAGATCAGAACAAAATAGAAACCGAAGCTTTGTCACTACACCAGCACTTATGTCTATATATACATCCAGAGTCTAAATTGGTCAGTAAGTTTGTTAACAGAAAGAAAGTCAACAACAATGGGTTCTCTTATGGCAGGATGGGACTCTCACGTCTTGGATCCTAAATCAGGTACCGATAATTAGTACTAATGTCTTTACGTATTTTGTTTATTTTGCTTCACCTTTTGGTCGAGTTTAGAAAGAAAAAAAAAAAATTGTGATTTCTGATGAGGGGAAATCTTTTTACTGTTTCAGAGACACTTGAAAGGAACCGGTCGCTTACCAAAGAAGAAATTAGTGCTTTCTGGAGAGCAAAGAAGGAGATAGAGGAAGAACACCTCAAAGCTGTTTCCAAGGTATCGGAGACTATTCAGGTTTGAGATTAACATCTCTACAAACCTCACTTTGTTTTTTTTCATTCCTTCTGTGTGTGTTTGTGTGGGTATTCAGATTTTTATTTTTATTTTTATTTTTTTGTATTTTTTTAAAAAAAGCTAGTAATAAATTTCGTATTATTTATGATGGATATACAGACCAGCAAATGCGAGGTTTCTAATAAGTTGCATAAGTCAAGTATGGTGCACTTGGCCCGTACGAAGGAGGAGTCTAAAGGTATGGAAGTTGACGCAAGTTTGGAGCATCTTATCAAGAAAAATGACTGGTAAATTAACTTGCGGATTATAATTGCACAATTAGCTTAACTTTTATGAATTCCTTCAATTTGGATTATACAAAGTTTATGTTTTTCATATGGTTGGATGAGCGCAGGTGGACCAAGAGTAGCTGGGCATTTCTGAATGAACCTCCAGTGACGGAAGCTGCTTTCAATAAATATGCATCACAGTTTCACGTAGCCAAATTGGGATCATCAAGAGATGGAATTAGTGCTTGATATGAGTCTATCTCCTTTCACCCTGTATATATAATTAGTGTTTGTTTGTCTCCTTTCACCCTATATATATCCACGATTATAGGTTGGCGTCTATAAATTGTAAAGCCACTGAAACCATGAAGTCACTTTCGGCTTCTTCTTTTTTTGGTAAGCCTTTCGGCTTAATTTTAAATTTGGCACAGTAATCTTGTTGTCATGTTGTTGTGTATGTTACTGGACATGTATTGTTCGTTTACAAAAAATAAAAAATTGTTACATATTTTTTGTTTTACAATACAAACTTTTTTGGTAAAAATCTTGTATTACAATATAATTTTCATATTTGCACTTTGTCTTCTAATCTTTTAAAGATATAAACATCGACTAACTTAAAATATTAACTGGTGTTAATTGTAATTCCTCATAAAAAAATAAGTATAATAGCATATAAATGGAATAACACATGAACTCAGATTTTTGATAAGTGGTGTAAAACTCATTTATTGTGATGGCATGTAATTTATTTCATTGATGGGGACTTTTGCCTAATAATAAAAAATAAAATCATACCTAAACATTTTAATAGATGTAGCTTAATTTAACGATTTAAATAACTCATTTATATTTGTGGAAATTTTTTGAAAAGTAAGTATCAGTAAGAATATATATATATATATATATAGGGGTAAGATTAATTTACACTAGTGTAAGAATAATAAGTCTAACACCAAATTTTAATCGTTAATTTTTGAATATCTAACGATTATAATTTATTAGAGTATATTCATTAATTAATTATTAATTCTTAAAATATTATAACCGTTAAATGCATGAAAATTAAAGATTAAAATTTAGTGTGGGATTAATTATTCTTACACTGGGTGAAAGTTGATACATATGATAGGCGTGCCTACTCCAAAAAAGAAAAAAAAATTCAGCTTGATTAAGCTCAATCTACTCCGATCATCTTAAGTGTATATATTCTTACAAATATTTAGTAAAATATCTTGTTTTAATTATTTTAAAAGATGACTTAAAAACACAAACTAACCTGACTATAATTGGGTTTAGTTAATTCTAAGTAAACGCTCTCTTAACCTAGTAACTTGACTAAATCTGCAATACATTAGTTTATGTGTTTAGTGCATTATTCAACTATTAACTTTCAAGACATATTAAAGAGAGAAAGCGGTCTTATTGCTTTAAATTTAGTTTTGATGTGCATGGATGGATGCGGGAATTGCTTTTTTTCTTTTCTTTCTTTGGTGGTCGAATGATCTTATTGCTTTGAATGTGTGTGTGTGACTGTGTGAGTATACCGCATTCAAAATTTGTTATTTATAAGTGGGCCCAATAGACAGGGCTTACTAAATGATGCTCGAGTTATCTATTTCCTACATGTGTAGGGCCCATTGGGCCGGGAGATAGATTTTACTAGGTCTATACTTTAGACCTTTCAGAGCCTTGAGCCCGCGGCCCAATTGTATTGTTTAAAATAACAGAAAATTAGGGTGGGAATTCTGAATTTTATATAGGGTTTCTCTTTTCTCTTGTCACTTGAAGTATTATCTCTTATTCCATATGTTGGGAACTCGGTTCCCTCAAGCTCGGCTAATCAGCCTTTGTGCGGAAGTCAATCAGCAAGATCCTCGATCTCGGATCTCGGCAATACTTCGGCCTGAACTTCACCAGGGCAGCGCAGCGGAAAATCAAAAACGCAAATAGGAGAGAGTGAAGGAGAACATAAACAGATTTTAACGTGGGAAAACTTTCAACAAGTAAAAACTCACAGGACCTAGTCCAGATCAAAAATTCACTATGAAAATAATGGTTACAAATTATCAAATTCACCAATGTGGTGGTTAACTCAACCTCTCCAACAGTGGTGATAATCAAACCTCCTTAGAGATGTTTCACTCAAACTCTCTAGAGATCTCTCAAACACAAAGCGTAGAGTTTTGCTCTCAAATCTCTCAAGTATCACTCAAGAGTCTCTCAAATATTTTTCTTCATCTAACCTAGCCTCCACTCACAACTAAAGAATATATAAAGAGGTGAGATCTAGGGTTTAGGGTTTTTAGGAAACCCCTCTATGGGCTTGCGCTTAGCATTGAAGGAGGAAGTCCAACACCATAGACATAACAAGTGATGGGATCTAACATTTGTTAAAAAAATAAAAAAGAAGGATAATATGGATTTTTTTTTTGGACAAAGATAATATGAATTTTGATACCTCACAACATGATAAATCAATCTCATTTTGCATGAGAAAATAATTTCCCTTTATATAATATTTTAAAAGCTTATAATTACATATTTGCACTAGACAAGCAGTGTACATTAACTAATCGTAAAAAATGCAAATAAAAATATGAATTAATATTTTTCATATTGTAAGAAATAATTTCACATTCTACATGTATATAGAAATTGTTGTAAATAATAATAATTTAGTTATTATTTAGTCATTTATTTGTTGTATTGGGCCCAGCCCATTAGGTTAAAATTAGGTCAAATATTCTCTATAAATAGAGAACCCTTTTGTACAGATTATTTACAATTCTATAATATATTAGAATACCTTTTTTAACTTGGTATCAAAGCTCTCGATCTGAGGGCTTTGCTTCCGCACATATTATCTTCTTTTTTAACAAAACCCTAATTTCTTTGCCTCTTGCCGCCATCAGCCGCCACCGGAAAATTTTTCCGGGGACCTTTTGGACCAAGGGGACCATTGTTGACCTTATTTTTCCTCTGATCTATCATTCTACGCACTGTTTCTCTGTCACAAACGACCGAAACACCTCCGACCGCCTCCAATCAGATCTGTCTTCACCGTTTGGACCACTTTCCGACGACTTTTCAACCGCGACCACCCACAGACAGGTGCGAGCTCACCGGACGACCACACCAGAAAAATCTCAGCCGGCAAAGCCCATCCACGCGCTCTCACGCGCCGCCCCTTTCCCGGCGAGTGAATCCCATGCGCAGCTCCTTCCTCCGGCGCGTGGAGGCGCGTGCGGCCGTGTTTTTGGACTGGACCACCACCATTCTTCTCGACTTCTTGTCTTCTGTCTGGATCTGTAATTATTTTTCTGATCAGAGGTCATTTGATATTCTGTTTGGTTGATTTTATCGTTGGTTGTTAACTTCTTTTGTTAAAGAATGGCCGAGCATGATAGTTCTTCGATCTTATCTGGTAAGAGCACACGTTCTATATCTCTTCTTGCTTCTTGCACTGATTTTAAAACCTCATGGATTTTGGATTCTGGTGCAACTGATCATATGGCTTGTCGTACTGAGTTGTTTTGTTCTTATCATCCTACTATTGGTAGTCATACTATATCCGTAGCTGATGGATCCCATAAATCAGTTATTGGTTCTGGTAACATTCAAATTCAACCTTCCTTGTTTCTTAAAAATGTTCTTTATGTTCCTCAGCTTTCTACTAATCTTATCTCCACTCAAAAACTTACAACTGATTTGAATTGTTCTATCACATTTTTTCCTTCTCATTGTCTTATTCAGGATCTTACCACGAAGAAGACAATTGGAGTTGCTAATGAACAAGATGGGTTGTATCATCTCATTCCAGACCATGCTAGCAAAAATCAGTTATTAATGACACGTCATCCTTCTACTGCATAGTCTATGATTTGGCTCCATCACAAGCGTCTCGGGCATCCACCATTTAGTCTTTTGAAGTCTATGTTCCCCTCTCTGTTTCTCAATAAGTCGGTTGAGACCTTTCATTGTGATGTTTGTGCATTTGCAAAACACCATCGAGTGTTATTTCCTTCTAGCACTATTAAAAGCAGGAAACCTTTTTCTCTTATCCATTCTGATGTTTGGGGCCCTTCTAAAGTGCACAGTGTTTCAGGTGCAAGGTGGTTTGTTTCTTTTATTGACGATTGTACTCGGATAACATAGATATACTTGATGAAAGACAAGTCTGAAGTACCAGAGATATTTATTCGGTTTAATCACATGGTTGAGACTCAGTTTGGTAAGGGTATTAAAAGACTCAGATCTGATAATGGTACTGAGTACGTCAATCAACGTCTGTCACAATTCATTTCAGACAGAGGTATGATTCATGAGCTCACATGTGTTGATACCCCTCAACAAAACGGGGTTGCTGAAAGGAAAAATCGTCACCTTCTTGAAGTTGCTAGAGCACTACTTTTCCAGACATCTGTTCCTAGTTCTTATTGAGGAGAAGCAGTATTAGCTGCAACTTTTTTGATTAACCGTTTACCTTCACGGGTCCTTAACAATATCAGTCCTATTCATTCCATGACTTCCTTCTTTCCTTCTGTTCCCATATTGCAGAGTCTTCCACCAAGAGTGTTTGGATGTGTTGCCTTTGTCCATGTTCATAAACAACATCGGAGTAAGTTGGATCCTAGGGCCGTTAAGTGTGTCTTCCTTGGTTATAACCCTTATAAAAAAGGGTACAAGTGTTATCATCCACCAAGTCGGAAATTTTTTGTTTCTATGGATGTCACATTTCAAGAATCTGAATCTTATTTCCTGGGTCCTCATCGTCAGGGGGAGAATAGTTCTTCAAAAAACTCGTCCCCTTCCTTCTTTGAGTCTGGATCAATCTTCTCTCTTCCTAGTGTGTCTGCTCCTGGTGTGTCAGAACCTTCAAATACACCTGAGATACAACCCATGTTGTCTCACCAGCAACCTCAATCGTCTGAACCACTGGTAAGTCCTGAATCTCCTATTTCTTCTGAGTCTCCTGAATCTCCTGTTTCTGATTCTAATATTATTTCCTCTCATGATTTGTCTATTTCTTCTGATATCTCTAATGACTTACCCATTGCTTCTACTTCTGATGACTTACTTATTGCTCTTAGAAAAGGAAAAAGATCTTGTCACAAGAAAACTTGTTCTTCCTGTCCCTCTTGTACTCAATACCCTATCTCCCACTTTGTTTCCTCTGCTAATCTTTCTGTGCAGCACAAAAGCTTTGTTTCAGCACTAGATTCTATTGCAATCCCAAAATCAGTACATGAAGCCTTGAAAGATAGGAGTTGGGCTCAAGCCATGCAAGAAAAGATGAATGCTTTGGAGAAAAATAAAACATGGGAGGTTATTGATATACCCAACGGAAAGAAAGCAGTAGGGTGCAGATGGGTTTATGCCCTGAAATATAATTCTGATGGCACTCTTGAGAGATATAAGGCTCGATTAGTGGCCAAATGTTACACTCAAACCTATGGCATTGATTATGAAGAAACCTTTGCTCCAGTTGCAAAGATGAATACAGTGAGAATCTTGTTATCCCTTGCTGCCCATTACAATTGGGATATAAATCAATTTGATGTGAAAAATGCTTTCCTCAATGGTGAGTTAGAAGAAGAAGTCTACATGGAAATCCCGCCTGGTTTTGATTCTGTGAAGGGGGAAAATAAAGTTTGTAGATTAAAAAAGGCCTTGTATGGATTGAAGCAGTCACCTCGTGCTTGGTTTGGAAGATTTACTAAGGTTATGATGACCTTAGGATACAGACAGAGCCAAGGAGATCACACTCTTTTCTTCAAGCACTCCGAAAATGGGAAGCTTACTGTGCTCCTTGTATATGTTGATGATATTATTATCACAAGTGATGATTTTGTGGAGAGACAGATTCTGCAAACACAGCTTGCCTCTGAGTTTGAAATCAAAGACCTTGGGAAACTGAGATATTTTCTAGGGATAGAAGTAGCTCATTCAAGCAAAGGAATTTTTATCAGCCAGAGGAAATATGTTCTTGATCTTCTCAAAGAAGCAGGAAAGCTCGGGTGTAAACCCTCTAATACTCCTATTGAGCAGAATCACAAGATGGGCTATGAAGAAGAGAGTCCTGCAGTTGATAAAGGACAATATCAACGGCTAGTTGGGAAATTGATATATCTGGCCCATACTAGACCAGACCTAGCTTATGCTGTTAGTGTTGTCAGTCAGTTTATGCACGATCCAAAAGAAAGACACATGCAGGCAGTAGAGAGAATTCTTCAGTATCTTAAAGGTACTCCTGGTAAAGGATTGTTATTCCGACGTGATGGCAATCTATCTTTAGAAGTCTACACAGATGCTGATTATGCTGGATCCGTGACTAACCGTCGTTCTACCACTGGTTATTGCATGTTTCTTTGCGGTAACTTAGTGACATGGAGAAGTAAGAAACAAGATGTGGTTGCCAGATCAAGTGCAGAAGCTGAATTTCGAGCTATGGCTCAAGGCATTTGTGAGTTACTGTGGCTGAAAATTGTACTTGATGATCTCAAAATAAAATGTGAGGGACCTATGAAGCTGCTATGTGATAATAAGTCCGCTATTTGTATAGCTCATAATCCAGTCCAACATGATCGGACTAAACATATTGAGGTTGACCGCCATTTCATCAAAGTGAAATTTGATAGCGGGTTGATTACCACTCCATACATTCCCACTGGGCGTCAATTAGCTGATCTATTAACAAAGGAGCTTCCTTCAGACAGATTTCAAGAACTTACTAGCAAGCTGAGAATGATAAATATCTATTCCTCAGCTTGAGGGGGAGTGTCGTAAATGATAATTATTTAGTTATTATTTAGTCATTTATTTGTTGTATTGGGCCAAACCCATTAGGTTAAAATTAAGTCAAATATTCTCTATAAATAGAGAACCCTTTGTACAGATTATTTACAATTCTATAATATATTAGAATACCTTTTTTTAACTGAAATATATGAGACTCATATTTTATTTTATTTTCTCTCTTCTCTTCAGGTGCCATACAGATGTTATAGATAATCTGTCTTTTAAATAGAAAATTTATTGGCGGAACGGCCTATGGTATTGAATACCACGAACACACATAACAACAACAACGCGACGATTTTTGTTAATAAAGCCGAAAGGCCCAGTTGGATATGCTAATCAAATATCCCTTTATTCCCCCTTCTAGTTATCGTAATCTTCACATTGGATCACACCTACGATTGGATCATGCAATTCAAGCATCTATCTACATCCAAAATAATGTAACTATAAATATGTAGCTAATCAGGCTACTAGTTTTTGCAAGCGACGCAAGAGACAAACTAAAAATGCAATCCGAGTACGAGAATTATGATCTTTCATTTCCCGACCAACCTGTTGTTGACCTATACCTCCGAGTGTGGGCTAACTTACCAGCCTTCCAGTCCAAGCCAGCTTTCATTTGGGCTAAAGACTTGGACACATCCATTCCCCTCACCTATTCCCAACTCAATACCTCCGTTCAAATCATCTCCACTCAGCTACTCGTTTCCCTTCAAAGAGGTGACACCGTCCTTGTTCTTTGCTCACCAGGACTCGACCTAGTTGAGCTCATCTTTGGGTGTCAGAGGGCTGGTCTTTTGAGCGTCCCTATTGTCCCTCCTCACCCTTCTTTTGCTAAAGATAACTATCACCACCTTATAAGGGTGATTTCACAGACCAAGCCCAAAGCTGCCATAGCTCACCCCGATTACATATCAAGTGTTGGACACTATGTGTCTTCCTCCCATAACAACAAGAAGCTTGCTCACTTGTTACAAAGTATGCGCTGGATTTCCATAGACGATATCAAACATGGTAACGTTAATTTAAATAATTGTGATTCCTTAACATACAGTGGTTGCAAAGCAGACGAGGTTTATTTGGTTCAGTACACGTCTGGTGCCACTGGTGTTCCAAAACCTGTTCTTGTCACTGCCGGATCAGCTGCTCATAATGTTAGGACAGCCAGAAAAGCTTATGATCTTCATCCAAACAGCACTATTGTTTCATGGCTTCCTCAATACCATGATTGTGGCCTCATGTTTCTGTTACTAACAATTGTATCCGGTGCTACGTGTGTTCTCACGTCCCCAACTGCGTTCATCAAACGCCCAAGACTCTGGCTTGAGTTAATGTCAAAATTCAAGGCCACATGCACTCCTGTTCCATCATTCACATTGCCACTTGTGCTCAAGCGTGGAGGGATAGACAAAGGAACTTTACCTATAAATCTATCAACTTTGAGCAACCTTATACTAATCAACGAACCCATCTACAGAGATTCAGTTGAAGAATTTGTTCACGCCTTTTCGCCATTCGGGCTAAGACCCTCGTCTATCTCTCCTTCTTACGGGTTGGCAGAGAATGGTACATTTGTTTCCACTGCGTGGAGGTTTGATAACCATTCTCCCTTTCCAGATTTTCCAACTTACAACAAGCTGTTACCAGTTGCAAGGCTTTCCTCACAGAGTAAGAACGAGGAACAGGAAGACGTGGAAATTATGGTTGTTAATGAAGAAACGCTTGAGCCAGTTAAGGATGGTATTGAAGGAGAAATTTGGGTTTCGTCGCCAAGCAATGCCTCTGGCTACCTTGGTCATCCTTCTTTAACAAGAGAGGTTTTTCATGGAAGACTAAGAAACATGGTTGGAAAGTGTTTTCTTCGAACAGGAGATATAGGAATCGTGATAGGAGAACAGAGGTGTCTCTTTGTCACTGGTCGCTGTCAAGATGTTATCAAGCTCCAAAATGGTCAAAAGTTTCATCCTCATTACATAGAGACTTCAGCTTATAACAGTTACCCACAGATACTAAGAGGAGGTTGCCTTGCAGCATTCCAAGTTTCAACAACGGTTGCACTTGTGGCAGAGATGCAGAGAATAGATAAGGACACCGAAACTGAGGTCTTGAGGAGCCTTTGTCAAGGAATTAAAGAAGCTGTTTTGAAGAAAGAGAAGATAGAGATTGGATGGGTGGTTTTGGTTAAGAGTGAGTGCGTTCCAAAAACCACTTCTGGAAAATTACAAAGATCGGCAACTAAGGAGAAGCTTCTTGCAGGAAAAATGATGATTCTGATGGAGATGCGATTTGGAAAAGATGTTACGAGAACTCAAGATGGAAGAAATTTGGTTGCGGAAGAGAGTAGTTCACTTTTAAGTGCGGAAACTCGTAACTCATTGATCTCACATCTTTGATAACATGAATGTAACACGTGAAAAAAAGTGTTGATGCTATCAGCATATATTTATATACTTTTGTAATATAATACAGGGAAGAGGATTGCCATCATGCAATCACCTCGGACAAGAACAAATCATTGAATAAAATGTCTTTTCCACTGTCTTTAGTAGTATTATTTAACTTATCTGTTTCTTACAAAAAAATCCTTCACGTTACAGGAGGAAACCAAAGCCCTATAATATAACTATGCAGGACTTATCTGCAGAGCAGAAAATTACGGGAAATCTGCTTGTAAACTAGATTACATGATACTTTATAGTATATATGGGCTTCTCACGTCGACGGCAGAATACTGAGGGAGGTGATTTGAACACGTCTTTTCTCATAAACTAGCATGCAAGTGCTCCAAATCCGATGCAATGTTCCCTTTCAAAACGGTTATTGGTATTGAATCCTTCATTCAATAATGAAAACAACTCTCATCCCATTTTTGGTATTGGATGCTCTACAGTTTTAAACAAACTGAGCCACACAAAAATTCCTCTTCGTATAAAAAGTTGGAAATATAATTTAACATATATATACCATTGTATCACAACGGCACCGTCCTGCCCGCATTTTGGGACCCGAGAGGATTGCAAAATAATATTTCTAATTATAACGAGATTATATTTTCTTATGCAATATGAGATAAAATATCTCATATTACACTCACAAACTTACGTGGATTCCACTATACAGGAAAAGAAAAAAATAATTGAAGTGGGCTTCACGCCAACTTTTTGAGTGTGTAGGAAAAATTTATTATTTCCTATAACATGAGGTTGATATTTTCCAATTATAATACTTTAGGAGGAGTTTGGTAAAGGAAAAAAAATTAACCGAGAATCACGATTCCCAGGAATATGATGAGAGTAAATTTCCTGATTGGGTAGATCAAAATATTTCTGAAAATATTTCTGAAAATTTTACTAATGTTATATTTGGTTGATTGTAAAATATTATTGTGAAGGTGCATAACCTTACCATCATTTTCATCTAAAATTTTTCCAATTTAAAATTAAAATAAAATTCAGAAAACAAAATAAACATTCAGGCAAAAAAAAATCCGAGGATCATCAAGTAAAATCATCAGCTTCAACAAGCAACACTGTGAGCACCTATGAAGCACCGACACTTCAAAAATCCTGACGTGTCGTGTCTGACACCTCCCGACACTCTCGGACACTCCGACACTCTCCGACACTCCAACACGTTTTATAGAAATTCAAAAAAAAGGTTCAAAGATTGCGTTGCGTTGAGTTTTTAGTTCCAACTATTAGATTTGTTGGATTACGATTACCATTTTATTGAGTTTAATATAAATATTTGGGATATCTTATGTTTCTTTGCAAAATTTATGAATATTATAAGTTTAGATTCATTTTTTGTTAAATTATTAAATATTAAATATAATATACACTACATAAATTAAAAATATTATTTAATATCAAAACGTGTCCTAACGTGTCAAAATCTAATATTTTTTGGAATTAACGTGTCAGAGTGTCGTGTTGTATCGTATCCCGTGTCCCGTGTCGGTATTGGTGCTAGGTGAGCACCATCCGAGGTAGAAGAGAGAGAAGCAGCGAAAGCGGCATATTGGTAAAAGTATTTTTGTCCGAAAATGTTGAAAAATATTTCCATCTGGTGGGTATTCAAAAAATATCACCCATCCGGTATTCTAAAAAAGGATTTTGCTTTACAGATTATTTTTTTAGAAATCTAATTTTACCAACAAAAAAAATTAATCCTAGTACTAATCGCCCCTATAAATATAGCTATTTACCTTAACTAACCACTTTAAAGATCAAACCCAGTGTTATGAATTGGATCGAGTTATTAAAAACCATTCCCATTTTACCTGGTTTAAAATGGGATAAGTGCATGTTCAACCCTGTCAAATAAGTTGGGCCTTTGAACCCGGGGCTTTTGTAGATAAGATCTGTAGACCAAGAAAAAAAGGGGCTAAGTAGAGGTGGGTCAAAAAAGTGTGCATCACAGTTTCATGTAAAATTGTTGGGCTTTATTAATATTATGTTAAGTAGAGTAATTCTCTCATATCATAAAAATAATCATGGGTGAAGTGAGACTCACTCATTTATAAAAAAATAAAAAAAAAAAAAATTACAGAAAATCAATGGATGTGTAGAAAAAATATACTATCTTATATTGCATAAGAATAATATTTTTCAAAATTGTTACATAGTTTTTGTTTTACAATGCAAACTTTTTGGTAAAAAACTTACAATACAACTTATACTACAGTATAATTTTCATATTTGCACTTTTTCCTCTAATCTTTTAAAGATATAAAGATCGACTAACTTGAAATATTAATTGGTGCCCTATTCATACCTTATATGAAAAAAACTTACCAAGAAATTTATTAAAAAATAATTTTGTATAATAAATGCTGGAATTTAAATTCGAGAGACACGTTAATTAAGAATTAAGTGTAATTCCTCATAAAAAATAAGTATAGTAGCATATAAATGGAATAACACATGAACTCACATTTTTTATAAGTGGTTTAAAACTCACTTATTGTGATGGGATGTAATTTATTTCATTGATGGTGAGTTCCTACCTAATAATAAAAAATAAAATCATGCCTAAACATTTTAATAGATGTAGCTTAATTTAAATATTTAAATAACTCTCATTTATATTAATTTTTTAAAAAATAAGTATTAGTAAAAAAAAAAGATAGGTGCCTACTCGAAATTTCTTTTCAACTTGATTAAGTTCAAACTACTCCAATCATCCTAATTTTATATATTTTGACAAATATTTAGTATAAAACAATCTTATTTTAATTATTTTAAAAGATGACATAAAAAACTCAAACTAACCTGAATATGATTGGGTTGAGTTAATTCTAAGTTAAAATTCTCTTACTCAATGCATGTAGCTTATTTAGTAACACAAATTGAATAAGTGAGGATAGAATCTGAATTCAATTCCCACCAAATAAATATTTGGGGAGGGCCGAGGTGAATATCTAGGAGTCGATTCGTCTAAAAAGATAATTGTGATTGGTATACTAAAAATAAAAATAAAATAAAAAGTTAAAATTCTCTTAACCCTAGTTAAACTTCACTAAATTTGTAATACATTAGTTTATGTGTTTAGTGTATCATGCAACTATTAACTTTCAAGTATGGGTGAAACTGGGTCAGGCCGGCCCACAGGGGCCTAGAGCCTGACCCATTAGTGGCTTGGCCTGGCCTGGCCTGGCCTGGCTCAGCCTTTTTACTTGGCAGATTGGGCTTAGGCTGGTGTAAAAGTTTGATTACATAATTGGGCCAGAGTGTTAATGTAATAACCTGGCCCATGAGCCTCCAGGCTGGCCCATTTGTTCACCCTCGGTTTTTCATCACAGCCCACAAGAAGACTGAAGAGTAAAGACGAGGGACTCTTACTCCAATTGTTCGTCCTTACACTGATATTTTTAGGGACTCTTATCACAGCCCACAAGAGGGACTCTACTTTGCTCCACCAAACCTTTTTAGGTTTCGTTTTTCTAATCTTAGATTGGTGGGAATTGCAGCTGCAGCTCCAGGTGTGTGTTCTCCACGCCCTCTCTCATCGCATTATGGTTCCTCTTTGTACTTTGCAGGTTTCACTGATATTTTTGGTGATATTTTTATATTTTGACTTTTGATATGTGATTCATAGTTCCCAATCCCATGTCCCATGCATATGCCCTTCACTGATTTTTGCCTAATAAATACATGAAATGTGGAAGCTGCTACAGAGGAATCCCTAACAGTTAGATTTCTATTTTGGTTGCTCTCTTGAAAACTTTCACATGTAATATTATTTTGTAATATTCTTTATAAAGATCAGCAATTATACAACAATAAATGCAAACACCGACAGTATTATAAATGAATTCTGTATTCTTCGCGCATACAAGATTGCGTCTATAATAATTTTCTGCCGAGCATTAATAGTTGTAGCTGACTCTATATTATTAGATTATTTCTTTAGATTTCCAATGCCTAATAGGCATGTTCGTTGGCTAAGATTGGTGCCATCCTTGCGATAAAAAGGCTTTTGGTGCCTGTAAAAGTCTCATCTGTATATGCATACCACTACAAATATTCCATGTTTGTTGTAACTTCCTTAATTGCTATACATATTCACAACACAGGTAAAAATCATCACAGATCAGGAATCAATTCAAACACCAAGAACCCAACGTTCTTATTTCATTACACATAGGAAACAACATCGTAGCTCAAACCCAAAGACGATCACCCCGTAAACCAATAAAAACAACTCAACAAAATAAGCTTAATTTGAAGCAAAAAGATCTTCATTTGGACCCATGTGAAGCACCCCAAATGGTATTTCGGACACCAAAATACAAAAAGACAGTAAATTTAACACCAAAAAGGAATAGGTAACAAATTAGAAGACATGGGTAGAAAATATATGTACTGTGAATATTCTCATTTGTATATGCATACCACTACAAATAGTCTCATATGTAAAAGATCAATTTTCATGATAGCGTATAATTTTATTTCATGATTGAGCATCCTATTTTATTTTATTATTTTGTTTCCTAAGCGTGTTCTCACCCAATTGGATATATGTATTGCGCGGATATATTGCTACCCTGATCTTGCATGATGAGTTGTGGTTAAGTTTGCGATGCTGATTTTGAGAAAGTTTCGCGTATGTAGCTGCTGCTGATGTAGGCCTTTACGTTTCGCGTATGAAAAGACGTGGAGTTGATGTAGCTGCTGCAATTTTTAAATGTCTGCAATTATGGGGAATTGAAAATAAGATATTTTCAGTATCTGTGGACAATGCAACCTACAATGATGTTTGTATAAGAAATTTGAAAAGCACATTAGCAAGAAACACCGACTTAGTCCTTGGTCGACAGCTATTTCATGTGAGATGTTGTGCTCATATATTGAATTTGCTAGTGCAACATGGTCTTAGTCAGATCAAAGGT